GTCTGTCTGTCTGTCTGTCTGTCTAGATGTACTTCATCAGTACCTTAATTTTTGAAACAAACTCTGTTACTGAATCTTTGGAGCTCATCAATTTGGCTAGACAGACTGGTCGATAAACTCTAGAGCTCTTCCTGACTCTACTTCCCCAGTGCTGAGGTTCTCTAACTTTTACGTGAGAGTCCAAACTCAAGTCCCTATGCTCATGCACCACACACTTTTCCTGGCCTGATACACTCCCTCCATGTCTATTATTTTAGTGGTTGATCTTGAAACCTTACTCTTCAACTTTGTTCAACACATTTATAATAATAGTTGTGAGTCTCTGGTGCTTGAGCTGGCTTTTTGGAATCTGTTCCCCGTGCTGGGTTGCCCTGCTCAGCCTTGATGCAGTGGGGAGGAGCTCGGTCCGGCCTCAACTTGATGTGCCATGCTTTGTTGACTCTCACGGGAGGGCTGACCCTTTCTGAACGGAGACACAGTGCATGGGGGTGGGGGGAGGGAACAGCAGGACAGGAAGGAGGGGAAACTGTGGTTGGTAAGTAAAATACATGAAAAAATTTAATGAAAAATAATAGTTGTGATTCTCAATGACTAGTTTGTACTGATTTTATATTAAAAATAAAGCTCATTCAAAATCTGTAATTGTCTTGGTTCTTTTTTTAGATTTTATTTTATTTTTAACTCTGTGTGTATGTGTCTGTCTCCATGAGGGCCTGTGAATGAGAGTATCAAGAGCCCTGGAGTGAGTTATAAATGATGTCCAATGTGGGTGCTGGGAACCAAGCTCTGGCCCTTCACTGCTGAGAAATTTCTCTAGGCCCCTCTTCTTTTTTTCTTATATTGCTGTCTTAACCTCAGACCTAATGTATTTTAAAATTTCAAAATTTGAGTCTCGTACGAGACAATTTTCTATTTTCTTCCTCATCAGGAAACAGTGGGAACTAATTTTTTTTTTTATTAATTTATTTTGCAATACAATTCAGTTCTACATATCAGTCACGGATTCCCTTGTTCTCCCCCCTCCCGTCCCCCTCACCTTCCCCCCAACCCCCCCCCCCCCCATTCCCATCTCCTCCAGGGCAAAGCCTTCCCCACAGACTGAGGTCAACCTGGTAGACTCAGTCCAGGTAGGTCTGGGAACTAATTTTTTTAAAAGCCCAAAGAGGCTCAGGATTTCTTAGATCACTTATTTCAGTTACAGTATTCTTAGTTCAACCAAAGAGATCAGGCAAGGTGGTAAATTCAACTTATATTACATTTAAGTAATGAATAAGTTTAATTTAGAAACCTATTCCCTCACAGGTCTTCTGACAGCTCTAAGTGGAAAGGGATTCTTATACTAAGCTTCCTTAATTTCTTTATCTTTTATATTGAATCCCCCATTCAGGTCTACTCACTGTTTTCATTAGCAAAGTTCTCAGTGTTCTTAGAAAAAACTGATCCCATCCATTTCGTAAGGAAGGTTTCAGTGGTCATGTTTCAGGAACAATAAAATAACACACAGCTGATGCAGTTTCTAGTGCCTATTGTTATTATTGCACTAAGTTAAATATTTTAAAGAATGACTGTTTTAAGCTCCAGATCTCTACTTTATGCTGTTGATTTTCACATGGGATGTGATTTAAGACACTCAAATCTAGACTTTGAGAATAAAATGTCTATTATAGGATTTTTTTGCTCATTCATAAGCCAGGATACATACCTTTTGTACAGAATAGGTTTTATTTAAGGGGATAGAAGTTTCCAGTGTCAATCAGAGCAAAGGAAGATGCCAGTGATTACCTTGGCAACTGGGATTAAGCTAACGGCTTCTGGTGTACCCCTCCACAGTGTATGAGCTCAAATACAAACTGTAAGTCATGCAGAAAAGACATGACTATGTCAGGACTGACATCTTTTCAGACTCTCCTTATTAAGGATGAGTCTATCTTCATCACAGCAATGCTATTACTTATTGAATGACATGGACACAATACCATTAAAACTGGGTAAGAGCAATTCTAGGCTCCAAAGCCTTCATTTAGCTTTTCCCTAGAAGGATGGAAATGGGGGAAAGGCCTTTACTATGATTGCTAATGTCCCCAGAACAATTTTCAATTACTGTAAACAATCAAGCTTACAGATGAGCCATTCTGCTTCTCCAAAATTTTGCTCTTCCTAAAAGTTAAGGTTTTATTGTTGGGGACAACTACTGTGAAATGATTTCCTCAAAGGATTTTCAGATATCTTTCAAGAAAATGTCTGCCAAATTCATGTGTGCAAAGCTATACATTATCTGAAAGTCATCCTTAAGTAAAAATGATATTCCATGACCAATAAATACTTCAACTTAAATAAATCAGTGGTTCTCAACCTTCCTAGTGCTGCGACCCTTTAATACAGTTCCTCGTGTTATGGTGACCTCTAACCATAAAATTATTTTTGTTGCTATTTCATAACTGCAATTTTGTTACTGTTATGAATCATAATGTAAATATCTGACACGCAGGATATTTTATATGAGACCCCTGTGAAAGGGTCATTCAACCCAAAGGGGTTGAGACCCACAGGTTGAGAACCGCCAACTTAAATAATTGTATGAATATTTTTTCTTCAAGAAACCATTGACTTAAGATAGCAGTACTAGCCGGGCGGTGGTGGCACACGCCTTTAATCCCAGCACTCGGGAGGCAGAGCCAGGCGGATCTCTGTGAGTTCGAGGCCAGCTTGGGCTACCAAGTGAGTTCCAGGAGAGGCGCAAAGCTACACAGAGAAACCCTGTCTCGAAAAAACCAAAAAAAAAAATAAAAAAAAAATAAAAAAAAAAAAAATAAGATAGCAGTACAGTGTTTTGAGTGTACCTCCTATTTGGTCACACAGAATATTTGAAGGACATGCACTTAAGCATTGAAGTTTAGCATATGTGTGATTTCATAATGAATAAGGATTGTATCAAAACATTTAAAAATAAAACTGGATTTTAAGAATTTGAGTATGCCACTGTTAAAAAGTGCAATCATTATCAGTGTGGTTTGTCTTCACTCTCTTGATCCTGATATGACACTGGTAATCTGGTACCAAATGTCAATCCTGTAAAACAGTAAATGACATGTTAGGATTGTTTTGAGAGTGGTTTTGACCATACGTTTTCAGGAACCTGCAAAAGTCTGTGGACTACACATTGAGAACTACTGATGTGTGATAGGATCTCAGTTTATGTAAGGAATACATAGAAATCTACAGACTAAATATCTGAAAGAATTTTTCACCGATTTTAATCGTGTGAACCTTAATGATGTGTCATAAACTTAAAAATCCTGTCTTTTAATGTGAGTATAGATTCCTTCTCTGCCTTTTGGCTATGATCAAGAGTAATGTTTGTATAGAAGTATATTAGCTTTAATTTTTTTAGCTGAATTGAGAAATACTTATTATATTATTGTGCACAAAATCATGTTCTGATACACATACGTATTACGAGATGGTTAAATGAAGTTATTTTATAAAAATATGTCACATCTACTTTTTGTCATTAGAACATGTAAAATCTTCTGTCACAGCAATTATCAGGTATGTAACATGGTGATATTATCTCAAGACGTCATGATGTGTAATAGATCTCCCCCATCCTCTCTCTGTGTGTGTTACAGGTGATTGAGCCAGAGCTCCATAAATTATTTTGTTGGAATGTCAGCAAAACAGGCTGGGTTTAGAAAATATTTTAGGGTCTTTCTATTTTCTTTCTTCATTGATTCAATGGGTTAGATAGAGAAGAAAGAATGTATACTTAGAAACTAAGAAGTAAGGGTGAGGGTTCAAGAAAAACCTCACCCTAGCTCCTTTTCCAAAGGAGGGCTGAGCTGACCTCTAGCTTTGAGAAACCTACCAGGGGTCAGCACCAAAGGCCTTTCTATTGCTCTGATTTTTTCCCATCTTAAATGAGAATTCATTTGGTCACTATGTGGTCCTCACAGTTACCTAAGAGAGCCCTTCCCTGTCAGAACTTGTCAGGTGGCAGGTCCTGTGTGTGTGTGTGTGTGTGTGTGTGTGTGTGTGTGTGTGTGTGTGTGTGTCTGTGTGTTTGCTTGTGTGTACGTATGCACTTGTGCACTACTGTGCACATGTGTCTTATTACCACCCCACTTCACCATTCATCATTTTAGGCTTGCTTTATTAAAACATTCAAACAATTACTCTCATTTTATCTTTACCCCTTACCCATGCCAGCTTCAATCCATCTTGCACAATGCCACCAGTTTATTTTCATTTTTACGTGTGTGTTCATATGTGTGTACGTATGTGTAGAGACCAGAGGGCAATCTCAGGTGTAATTCTCAGGAATTCCATTACTGCTTTGATGCAGGGTTTCTCACTGACCTGGAGCTCATCAATTAGGTTAGCCTGGCTGGCCGGTGAGCCCCAGGGACCCTCTTGTCTCTTCACCCTCAGGGCCAAGATTACAAGTGGGCATTATCACACACAGCATTTTTAAGTGCGTTCTGGGAACCAAACTCAAATCCTCACACTTGTGAAGCAAGGACTTTACCAACTGAGCTATCTCCCAGCTCTGATTTTCCTTTTATATATGTATATTTTTAAAATGTCCTGTTACTCCCCAGATGACAGGATATTTTGGTACCCAAGCTGAGGGTTTAAGACCTTAAAAACAAAACAAATGAACAAAAATAACAGTCTTCACCCTAAGTTCTCATTTTTTATCTTTTATCATTCCTCTTTCACAGCTTCTATTTTTCCATTTCATGGAAATGATCTTCCTCCCTTTCATAGGAACAGAATTCTCGCCCCGATGCCTTTCTTCATACAGTTTCTCCTCCCAGGCCACTCTCCATGTTGTCTTTCAGGCCCAGCTTAAGTGCATCCTCCACTAAAGTTCTGCTCCACCCTCCCTGATAGCAAGTATCTGACACTGGCCAGGTGCCCAGGTACTATTAGCAGTCTATCAGTATTCACGGTCCTTACCTCTGCAGCTAGACTTTTAATTCAAGCACGAGAACAATTCCTTGCCATTTGCAACACACATCTTTATTGATGATACACATATGAAGTCTTTGGTGACAAAATTCAAGTCAAAACAAGTAGGAACAGAGTAGGCCATTCACGGACAGGTCCATTATCAATTCACATCGAGGACCCAGTAAAAATATTCCACCCAAGCAACACAATTCAAATCACAAATGTGTCTTCAGTACTACAGGACTACAGAACTACAGGACTACAGGACTATTTGGTATTCAGGAAATGGATCAGCTTAAAGCTGGTGACTGTCACAGACAACATCACTCTGAATGACACATTTTTCTAAACTGGCAGCTGAAAAGACCCCTTTACTATTCACACAAGGAGAAAAGCAATAACATCTCATTTTAACACTTGGAAAACTGAGAAATCACAGATCTTGAGGACACAGAGCAATCAGAATTTGTTTACCAGTTTGATAACTTTCACTTTCACCAAGAGGTCATGGTGATTTGCCAAGGCTCGGATTTTCTTAACACACACCCCAGATGTAGTACATAAGTAAAACAGGGAACCCTTGTTGAATTCTCTGTAGTTGAACACTTCTGCTCTGAGGTTGTCAAAGATAATCTCAAATAGAGTAAGAGCATTAATAAGAATTTCTGATTCCACATAAGAATTATAAAGGGAACTAAATGATGATGGCACTTGGGTACCGAGAAGTTTTTTGAGCATGTCTGGATTTTCAGCAAAATTTGAAAGTATTTTCAAAATTTCAACCTTAATTTTTCCACCCCCTTGTGATAACAAGCGGAAAAAGTTTGCAATGGAATTGACAAGCAGGTGCTGGTAGTCATTAGTAATAGTCATGTTTGTTAAAAATTTTAGCCCAACTACCTGTACTGCTGAGTTCAGGTTAGAAGCCATGATATCATCCATCACTTTGTTCATGTATACCTGCAGTCGGCCCTGGTTTTCATAATTTTCACTCAGGTTATTCATGGCCATTAAGGCTTTTTCCTTAATGTGGGGGTCAGTTTTGTTGATCATGTTAGCAATAATCGGGAGGCCTCCCAACTTTCGAATTGTTTCTTGATTACATGAATAATTGGCATTGTTGCTCAGGGTGAGCAGGGCTACCTGTTGGATAAAGGGGTCATCTGATTTCTGAAGCAAGGCTAGGACTTTCCTGAGATCTCGGACACCCAGAATCTCATCAATTTCATATGGAAAGGGGCGCTTATGCATGGGAATGGTTCTCTTGCCCTTCCCTCTGTGCTGAACCTCAGGTTCAGAGTCTGAATCTGACTCTGTATCAGTCCACCCAGATTCCCCCTCCTCAGATTCAGGAATCTCTGCTAGGAAAGCCTGTCCCCCATTAGCAGAAGCTGCAGCAGCTGCTGCAGCCCCATCACCGGGGCGAAAGCCCATCCCCAACTCATCCACTTCAACCTTGTTTTTCCTATTTTTGCCCTTGCCTCCATTCCGGTTCCTGTTTCCACCCTTGCCTCCACCTTTGGGCACAGCGCCAGTGGCTGATCCAGCCTTAGGTATAGCCCCAGTGTGAGTTCCAGGGCTTGCTTTTTTGCCAGTGGCTGCTGTCTTAGAGGACCCTGAAGTCCCAGGAGTCTCTGCGACCCCAGAAAGCATTGGCAGAGAGGCTTCAGCCACCGTGGCAGGTGTTGCTATTCTAGGAGTCTCTGTGGCATTGGTAGGTGCTGCCACCCTAGGGACCTGCACGGCTTCTGCGGTTGTTGCCCTCTGGGTAGATGCTGGTGCCCTAGCAAATGCTGCCGCATTGGGAGTTGCTGCCCCCCTGGGAGCCACTGTTGTCCCAGAAGGGGCTCCTGTCCTGGGAGGCACTGCTGCCCCAGAATACTGGACTGCCCTGGGAGGCACTACTACCCCAGGAGATTGGGCTGCCCCAGGATGCACTGTTGCCCCAGGAGACTGGACTGCTCTGGGAGGCGCTGATGCCACAGAAGACTGGACTGCCCTGGAAAGCACTGCTGCTGCCCCAAGAGACGGGGGTGGAAGGGGAGGCACCACTGTCCCAGGAGACTGGCTTACCCTGGCAGCAGCAGCAGCTGCTGCTGCTGCCCCAGGAAAGTGGGTTGCCACAGGAATATAGACTGCCCCAGGAGGCGCTACTACTGCCCAGGAAGGTGCTGCTGGCATAAGAGATTGGACTGCCATGGTTGGTGCTGCTGGCCCAGGAGACTGGGCTACCCCATGAGGTGCTACAGCCCACGGAAGTGCTGCTGGCATAGGATGTGCTATTGATGGGGAAGGGACTGCTGGCCCAGGAGACTGGACTGCCCCAGTAAGTACTGCTGGCCCAGGAGACTGGACTGCCCCAGGAAGTATTGCTGGCCCAGGAGACTGGACTGCCCCAGGAAGTATTGCTGGCCCAGGGAGTGCTGCTGCTCCAGAAGCCTGTGTGGTGCTGGCAGCTCCTGCCACTTTGGGAGCCACTACTATTGCTGGGGCCCCTGCAGCTGTGGGGACCCCTGCCACCTTGGGTGGGGATGTAACTGCACAGGCAGCTGAAGTCACGGCTACTTTAGTAGGCTCAGTTCCAGTCCCATTTGCCGCCTGGACCTTACTTTCTGCCCCATTCTGAACCTTAGGGCTGGGTGCAGCTGGCACCATTTCTTCAGCTGCAGCTTTGGCAAGAGTGGATGTTTCTTCTTGGGCCTTATTCATTGCCTCAACACTCACCAGGGCTGGGGTATTGAATCCTGGCCCAAGGTCAATTGTGAATCCAGCTCTTAGGCCAGCTCTAGCTCTGGCTCCAGTACCCACCGAAGCCCGGTTCTTGGGCTTGGCTGGTCTCTTCTTCTTCTGGTCTCTTCCTCTAGTATATTTGTAGACACAGTACCAGGCACTAGCCCCGATCACTATTCCAGCAGCTACGCAGCCAGCATCCCGAGCACGGCTCATGATACACTTGGAACAATTCTCTGATCCGGGTTGTGTTACCGGCTTGCCTAAGTGGAACGTATGTACCAGTCAAAGCGAGGCTCTCAAGCTCAGGTTTGAAAGTTCTTCTGAGGCTGCAAGCTGAGCTGGACCTAGTAGGAGTAAATGTTAGAAATGAGAGGCACAGGGTTTGGGCTCACTTTGTGTCTAACCTTAGAGGAGAGTTTGGGGACACAGGTGTGGAAGCTTACATTTGCTGATGTAGAGATCAGCTCCAGGTCTTATCTACAACTCTAATCCACCTTCCCAGTGCCAGTCCCTATCATTTCTTTGTCTCTAAATGGGGAGGGGGTAATATGGACATCTGGCAGAGAGTGGGAGATCTGAGATTCACCTACAGTACCTCCACCCCCATTCAAATGGCCTCAGATAGTGCTCATGTACATACCAACTTCCTGGGATCAGGAGCAATTCCCACGGTGCTCGTTCTCAGAGCTGCAGAGTCTACAGGTAAATGGATCTGTGGGTAGATGACAGGTGGTTTTGAGCCTTTGGTAGAGAGATAGTTGTTTCTCCCCTGATTTGCATTTGGTGGGACAAAAAAAAAATCTCTCAGGACTCTTCCTTTTCTTCCCCAATTATTAATTTAAAGAGACAGATACCACATGCCCCTTTCATTGCACCAAAAAGGACAGGCCAGGACAAAGGTGTCCTAAAGAAAGAAAAGATGCAGGCAGAGGTGTTCTGTTTCTATGTTCTGGCCTCTGCCACACCCACACCAGGGGGTCATCACCCCAAATACCGACCTGCAAGAATTCAGAGGTCTTTCCCCTTCCTTTAATTCAGTCAGAGCTTCATGCGGAGGACAGGCTGAAGGGCAGAAATATAGACTGCGGGTGCAGGCTGAGAACCTGGTGGACATATCATCATCCAGAACAAGAGCCCTAGTGTTAGCCTTTTTCTATCTGCACACCACAATGGCAAAAAAAAAAAAAAAAAAAAAAAAAAAAAAATTCCACCTTTCAATTCCTTTCATTCTTCTTGCCTCTTTCATCCCACCTCCCCAGGCCCCCAGCACTCCCACCCCCGTTTGCGCAGGCTCCCCAGGCACTCAACGCCCCCTTCTATTTCGCCCCACCCCTGGCCGCCATTTTTCTGAGACACAGCGCCACACCCCTTCTGCTGCATCGAAGCGGAGGGGGCAAGGCGAGAGTGCTGGCTAAGACGCAGCATGGGGGATTCCTGCCAGATATTCTGCTGTTCCTCGCTTATACTCAGCGGTTGTCCATCCCCCATCTTTCTGGCCTAGCACTAGCTTGCAGAACAAGGGCCACTAGGCCTGCCTCCTCAGTTTTAGGGTCGCGATTTTCCGTGATTTCTCTGCTCTGGGCTCCGCCTCCCACCCCCCACCCCAAATCCCCAGATAACCGCCATCTCTTTAGCCCGCATACCCGAATTCCTTTTTCAGGCCTGAAAAGACCAGGATGAAGGGCTCTGTGGGCCGCAGGTGTCTGGAAAGCAGCCTGGCAGTTAGCATGGCGGTTTAATACCAGATTCTGTCACGATCCCCCAGCCTGTGAAGCCCATGCAGCGCCAAATCCGCCATCTCTCCCACAGAAGCTGGCACACCCATTTCCTAGCACCCTAGAAGGACAGGGGGAGGTGGGGGAGGGGAGGGGGAGGGGGGAGGGTTGGGGCAGCAAGGTGTCTGAAAAGGGAGGATGGGAGTGAAAAATACCGATTGCTTCCAAATTTCAAGCCCCTCCAGCCACCCGATCCCAACCTCCTTGCTGGGCTTGAATGTGCTGCCACGTTTATTTCTCTTGCCTGCTCCTCTGAAAACAACACGGTAAGTAGGGAGCCGAGCCTGAGTGGCAAAAACAAAACCGCAAAACATCTGGGAGAGAAGTAAGCGGTTTCTCCCATACATCGGATAGTCCTTTCATTCCACTCCTCCCCTCTCGCCCGCTGCCCACCAAAATCCGCTGCACCGGAGATCCCAGGGTCTGGAAAACCGGGGCGGCAGAGGATGCAGAAATGCCTGAGGCCTTGACTTTCAGCATCCCTGAGCTATTTGTATCCCCCGAGTCCTGAGGATGTTCATTCTCACACCCACCTGTCCAGTTCTGAGGGAATTTTCTTCTTCTTGCCTGGCAGTGTGCAGCTTAACAGCGTTGGTACCCGGAGGAAGATGGCAGGGATGGCCGTCAAGGCTTTAAGTACCTTTGCCCACGTCAGCTCTTGGTCACGTGAGGCTTCATTGCCAGTCAGCTTGGGTCCCGGAATTCCACTCCCACCAAGAGCGGGACCCCCCTCCTTTATCCCCACTCCTGCCTCATCCTACCACATCAGGTCCTGTCAATCATTTATTGCCTTTGTAACTCAGGCCAAAAGTAGCCCCTTTCTCCCTGTATGAATTTGCTTTCTCTAGTTACTGGAGAAGAGCTGCAGCTTCTGGGAGAACTGTTGACATTGTTCACTTTTTTTTTCCTTGGGAATTATCTCATATCCCCCCCCCCCCCCCCCCCCCCCCCCCCCCCCCCCCCCGTTACTCCAAGCTTTCCCCTCCATCCTCCAGTCCCTACCTAGTTCCCACCATTTCCCTTGTGGTTGAGTTTCTGCTCCTGTATAGATAAGGGGTGCATATCAAAGAGGAGGCAAGGATTGGAGGTTAGATCTGCACTTCTGGAAGACTCGTTCTTTTGTTTTAAAAACCATGACTACAGCTTTATTTTGACAGGAAGAAGATACAATGAAAGAAGAACTAAGTGTGAGAAATAGTAGCAAACACTAACAGAAACGTTTTGTTTTAAAGCAGGATTTCTCTCGCGTTAATTTTGGTTAATTTTTATCACACAGAAAATAAATTGTATTGGCCACGTGGGAGATAGATTTCAAAGCATGCTAAGTATCTGAGCATTTAAAATGTATTTTTTCTTGATGATATAAACTTATTTCCACATGATCTGTAAATTGATCTGTGAAGATGCATTCAGTTGCCCTATCTTATTTATTTTGGATAAATAATACCCTACTTTTCTTCTTGGATAGCTTTTAAGTTGAATAAATGAATGACCTTCTCTTGTCCTGTTAGAGAAATACATTTATTTAACATTATCATGCTATTGCTTACTGCTGTGTGAATCTCCTGTAATTTCATGGCTGTAGCCATGACAATTTTGAACATCTGTCCCTGGGTTAGGTTCCAGTTTAGTGATTCATCTTTAGATGAAAAGAAGAGCTTCAAGGCTAAGAAAAGTAATTGTGTGAAGGGTGCAGGATTGGAAAATCCTCCTTGCCCTGCTAAGAAGGATAGAAGCTGCTGTTCCACCACCCCTCCCACACTCCTGAGCCTTTAATGCTATCCCCTGCATGCAGTCATCTGACTTTGTTGCTTACTTCCAAAGTATACATGGATAGCTCATCAAAGTGGTAACATGGGTGAATGCCTTTAGCCGCTTACCTTTCCTCTCTTAGGGGTAACTCAGCAATGCATGGAATAGCTTGCTCTTCTTATCTGCCTTTGGAGCTGAATATTTCAATGAATACAGAAGTGATGGTTGGGGGAAGGGTTGTGTCCTGGTGAATGTTTTCTTTAATATCCCATGTACTATACTACCTGGTCTGAAAGTTACAGCCTGATGGCCCTCACCTCTGGCTTCCTTTACTCCAAGCAACCAGTAGGATCCTAGGTTTGCTGCAGAATAACTGCCAGTCCTCCTCTACTTTGGTGCTCCCTTAGCCAAATATATGTCCAGACCCAAACTACAGTGCCCAATGGCCACACTGATCAACCTCAATTAGGTGTTCATACTTAATTAACTCTGTGGTCCATCTGAAATGATATTCATCCTAAAGGTTTTATTTTTAATTGTGTATGGGTCTAAATCAATTTTAGGAGGTCAGGTTAGAGATCCTTGACAGCGACAGTTTTCCAAGGAATCTGTGATCCATCTCTCAGATATTAAGAGCCAACAGAATGGCCTAAAGAGATTTTGTTTTGTGTATTTGTCAAGATTAAGAATCTTCTTTGTCAGTCGGTAATGGTGGCACACACCTATAATCCCAGCACTCGGGAGGCAGAGGCAGGAGGACTTCTGAGTTTGAGGCCAGCCTGATCTACAGAGCTAGTTTGAGGGCAGCCAGGACTGTTACACAGAGAAACCTTGTCTCAAAACAAACAAACAAACAAAAACAAAAAGAAAAAAAATCTCTTTTGTCTAGTAACAAATATTACAAAGCATGTTTAGAGCCCTAATTCAACCTCCCAGCATAAAAGGAAAGCTAAATAAAACCAATAAGGAAATATATAAGTATATATGAAGAAAGAATCTTGTAGCTTTTCTATTCCCAGCCACTGTTAACTATTTTTGATTTTCTTTTAAAGCACATTTTAATAAGTATGGTTATGCTTATTGATAAAGTTCCAAATGAAGCAGAAGTCATAAAGGAAATAGGCATTGATATTTGTGTTGTAATATCAGTAAATCTGCAGATTCACTTGTGGAACATTATTATCTTAAAGTCAAGGTTTCCTCCCTAGGAACATTCATGTGAGCACCTGTCCATTTTTATATTTTATGTTTCTTCAGCTATCTAATTCACATTATTTGCTAATTTTTCTGAATTATTAGTTATCTTTGTTGTAAAATCACTGTTTCTTTAAAAACTACTTACTATTTTTATTTTACGTGTATGTGTGTCTGTGTGTGTATGCCACAAGTATATGGGTTCCTGTGAAGGCCATAAGAGGAGGTTGAATTCTCTAGAGCTGGAGTTACGAGCGGTTGTTTGTTACTGGATGTAGGTATTGGGAGCAGAACTTGGCCCTCTGCAAGAGCAGCAAACACTTTTCACCCATGAGCCATCTCTGCAGCCCAACCACTATTTCTTTCTTGAATTACAATTTCTCACGGGAAACTGTATTTAAAAGAAAATATTCTACTATTATATATTTATTTTCTGCTAGCCAACTTTTTGATATCTTAATAGTTCCACTAGTTCTTAGGTGACATTTTTGGTTTGTGTAGATTTATACTAAATGCCATTTTTTTTTTTGTAACAGGTTCTCATTTCCGCCTTTCTTTTTTGAAATTTTATTTTTTATTTGTTTATTTTTATTTTATGTGTATTGGTGTTTTGCCCACATGTATGTCTGTGTGATGGTGTTGGGTCCCCTGGAAATGGAGTTACAGACTTGTGAGCTGCTGTGTGGGTGCTGGGAATTGAATTCGGGCCCTCTGGAAGAGCAGCCAGTGCTCTAACTGCTGAACCATTTATCCAGCCCCGAAATTTTATTTTTTATTGTTACCACTACAGGGATAAATTTTAAACAGGACAAAGATGCAGTGATTTTCAAGTATATGAATAAGTCAGAGTATAATTTTATATTCTTCCTAAATATCATACTTTATGAATTCTAAGTGTTCAATCAAAATATTTGATTGAGAAATCCAATTTCCATCAGGAGACATTCTGGACAAGCACCTTGATTATAAAAAGGCAAGATATGTTTTTGTTTTTAGCATACCATTATACAGAAAAGACAAAATGATTTAATGTCAAGACAATACAACTAAATACTACTAAGTACCTACTTATACAACCTTTGAAAAAGTTTATTAAAAGTAGGAAAGCAGAAATAGCAATTATTTTCATGTATTAAAAAAGGTACAAAAAACTTTTCTAAACCTGAGTTTCCATTAGTTGCTACTCTTACTCCATGTAATACTTTTAGAAACAAAATGCTAACAAAATAAAATACATAATCCCAATTTATACGTGCCAAATCCCAAATAGGATGAAACCTTAAGATTTTTTGTAAGTTAGTCATTTCTCCTTTTCTAATATTCATGCTTCCTTCTCTTTATTTTTTTCTCTGACCATGACCTCTCTGAGACCCTCCTCATTGTGTTCTCTTTTGTCTTATCCCTTAGTGTAACATATGTCTTTTTCAAGGGTATTTTTAACTTATCTTTACTAGTATCACACAAAAAGTAATATTCAGAAATATTATAATGAGTGGAAGTGACTTGCAAGATCTATTGTCCTGGTAGCCCACAGGGGAGTGATAAATCTACCAGGTCAGAGAACTTCATGTATTCTTTATCAGGTTAAGGATATTTTCTTTTGTATCTAATTTAATTTAACCAATAATGAATCATTTAATTACATATAATTCTTTACTATGTAAATGAAGTTTTCCCTCTTCTTCTTATTAATAGTTTGAAATTTTAAGAATGACTAGCTTCATTTACTAAGTGCTGAGCTATGATTATAGTTCAGTGGTAGAGTGCTTGCCTGCTAGCAGGAGGCCCAAGTTCAATCCCCCAAATTCAAATGCTTTGATTGTAAGATTTCCCTTTCTATTAACTTGCTGTTGTCCAGAATGATGAAAATAGAGCGTTCCCATCACTTTTGTTGCCCACAGTATATTCCCAACACATCTAGACATATTAACACTTTTGTAAACTCCAACCCTCCTTCCTGAATTGTTTACAATAAACACAAATATCCTCGTTACAACTGACAGGAATCTACCATAGTCAAACTTCATACACTTCTGCCTCATTTTTCCTTCTCTAATCATCCTAGCTTCCTTGATACGCCTGGGCCAAATTGGCCACAAACCCTTCATAGAGCCTTTGTATGTGTGTGTGTGTTTGTCTTTCTGCTTGAGATAATCTCCTCCTAC